TTCCATAGGGAGGAATTTTGGGATTGCAACTCGGAACCCTTCACTTCCAGCAGGGAAAATTCCATTCCAGAAAAATCAGGGAAAATCCCATTCTGGAAAAATCAGGGAAAATCCCATTCCAGAAAAATCAGGGAAAATCACATTCTGGAAAAAATCAGGGAAAATTCCGCTCTGGAAAAATCAGGGAAAATCACATTCCTGAATAATCAGGGAAAATTCCATTCCGGAAAAATCAGGGAAAATCACATTCTGGAAAAATCAGGGAAAATTTCATTCTGGAAAAATCCCATTCCGGAAAAATCAGGGAAAATTCCACTCGGGAAAAATCAGGGAAAATTCTGCTCTGGAAAAATCAGGGAAAATTCCATTCCAGAAAAATCAGGGAAAATTCCATTCCAGAAAAATCAGGGAAAATCACATTCTGGAAAAATTCCATTCCGGAAAAATCAGGGAAAATCCTATTCTGGAAAAAATCAGGGAAAATCCCATTCAGGAAAAATCAGGGAAAATTCCATTCTGGAAAAATCAGGGAAAATCCCATTCCAGAAAAATCAGGGGAAATTCCGCTCTGGAAAAAATCAGGGAAAATCCCATTCCAGAAAAATCAGGGAAAATTCCACTCTGGAAAAACTCAGGGAAAATCCCATTCTGGAAAAATCAGGGAAAATTCCGCTCCGGAAAAATCAGGGAAAATCCAGTGCAGCTCCCAATCCTAAAAATCCTCTGGAAGCAGGAAAATCTGATTTTCCCATTATTGGTTTTCCATGATTTTTCCATGATTTTCCCATTATTGATTTCCCATGATTTTTCCATGTTTTTTCCATGCTTTTCTCGTATTTTTTTCCCATTATTTTTCCCAAGATTTTTCCATTATTTTGCTCCATTATTTTGCTGTGATTTTTCCATGATTTTTCCATTATTTCCCCATTATTGATTTCCCATTATTTTCTCATTATTTTTCCATTGTTTTTCCCAAGATTTTCCTGTGATTTTCCCATTTTTTTTCATGATTTTTCCATTATTTTCCTGTCATTTTCCCATGATTTTTCCGTGCTTTTCTCATTATTTTTCCATTATTTTTCCCAAGATTTTTCAATTATTTTCCCGTGATTTTCCATGTTTTTTCCTGTGATTTTTCCATTATTTTCCTGTCATTTTCCCATGATTTTTCCCAAGATTTTCCCATTATTTTCCTGTGATTTTTCCATTATCTTACCATTATTTTCCCAAGGATTTTTCCATGATTTTCCTTTTTTTTTCCATTATTTTTCCATTATTTTCCTGTCATTTTCCCATGATTTTCCCATGCTTTTCTCACTATTTTTCCATTATTTTGCCCAAGATTTTTCCATGATTTTCCTGTGATTTTCCATGATTTTTCCCATGATTTTCCCATTATTTCCCTGTGATTTTTTCCATGATCTTACCATGATTTTCCCAAGATTTTTTCCCATGATTTTCCCATGATTTTCCTTTTTTTTCCCCATGATTTTTCCATGATTTTTCTGTGCTTTTCTCATTATTTTTCCATTTTTTTTCCCAAGATTTTTCCATGATTTTTCCATGATCTTACCATTATTTTCCCAAGATTTTCCCATTATTTTTTCCCAAGATTTTTCCATGATTTTCCTGTGATTTTCCATGATTTTTCTGGTGATTTTTCCATTATTTACCCATGATTTTCGCATGATTTTCCCCAAGATTTTCCCATTATTTCCCTGTGATTTTTTCCATGATCTTACCATGATTTTCCCAAGATTTTTTCCCATGATTTTCCATTTTTTTCCCATGATTTTTCTGTGCTTTTCTCATTATTTTTCCATTATTTTTCCCAAGATTTTTCCATGATTTTCCCATGATTTTTCCTGTCATTTTCCCATGATTTTCCCATTATTTCCCTGTGATTTTTCCATGATCTTACCATTATTTTTCCCAAGATTTTCCCACGATTTTTCCTGTGATTTTTCCATGATTTTCCTGTCATTTTCCCCATGATTTTTCCCAAGATTTTACCATTATTTCCCCATTATTTTTCCATGATCCTACCATGATTTTCCCAAGATTTTTTCCCATGATTTTCCCCAAGATTTTCCCGCCGGCGGGGTCACCGCAAATCCCAAGGAAGCCAAAAACTGCCAAGAAAAAGTGAGGAAAAACCAGAAAAAAAACCAAAAAAAAAAATTGGGGAAAAGCAGAAATACTTGGAACCGGAGCAGATCCCGGTGCTGGAGCCGCTCCGGGCCCTTCCCATGTCCCAACTTTTCCCTGGAGCAGGGATTCAGTCTCTGGCCAGGCCATTCCCGAATTTCCCAGGTCAGTATTTCACTCCGGGAACGAATTCCTTGGCGTCCGGGTTCAAGGTGCTTTTGCTCTGGGGGAAAAAAAAAACGGGAATGGGATCGGTCAGTGTTGGGAATTCCAGGGATTTTGGGGTCTCGGGTTGGATTTGGGAAGAATTGATGGAATTGTGGAGTGGTTTGGGATCCTTCAATGCCGTCCCTGAATCCCAGCCTGAAATTCCAGCCAATCCAAATATTCCAGGCGGATCCAAGCCGGCCTTGGAAACTTCCAGGGATTTGGGGGCAATTCCAGAGAAAGGAGAATTCCATGGATGGGACAATGGCAAGGGTGGAATTTCAGGGATAGGAGAATTCCAAGGAATGGACAATTCCATGGATGGGACAATTCCAGGGACAGAATCCCAGGGATTGAACAATTCCAAGGAGTGAACAATTTCAAGCATGGGAGAATTCCATGGATGGGACAATTCCTGTGATAAAATTCCAGGGTTTGGACAATTCCAGGGACAGAATTCCAGACATAGGAGAATTCCAGGGATGGGCCAATTCTAGGGACAGAATTCCAGGGATTGGACAATTCCAAGGAGTGAACAATTTCAAGAATGGGAGAATTCCAAGGATGGGCTGATCCCTGGGATGGGACAATTCCAGGGGTAGAATTCCAAGGATGGGACAATTCCTGGGATGGGACAATTCCATGGATGGGA